TGATTTGTTTGTTTTTAATTCTAATGATCTTTATACTCACTCACTAATTGAATGATTAATGCGAATGAAATGATTGAAGGGCATTACGTAATGGCAAATAAGTATGTATGTTCTTTTTTAATTCTAATGATTGATAAATGTTTTTTATACTCACTCACTGAGTGAATAATTAATGCGAATGAAAAGATTTAATGGTAAATAAGTATTTATGTTGTTGATTTGTGAGCTTGTTTTGCTGTTTAATTCCAGCAATTACGAAATTTTTCATATACTCACAGGCTAAATTAATGCGAATGAAATGATTTGAAGGGTATTACGTAATGGTAAATAAGTATTTATATTCTTGATTTGTGAACTTTTTTATTCAAATGATTAATTAATGTTCTTTATACTCACGCACTGAATGAATGATTAATGCGAATGAAAATGATTTGAAGGGCATTACATAATAGTAATGGTAAATAAGTGTTTAAGTTCTTGGTTTATGAACTTGCTTTGCTGTTTTTAATTCCAATGATTAATAAATGTTCTTCATACTCACAGACTAAATTAATGCGAGTGAAATGATATGAAAGGCATTACGTAATTGTAAATAAGTATTTATGTTTTTTGATTTGTGAAATTGTTTTGCTGCTTTAATTACAATTAGTGATACGGGTCGATGAAAAAATCGTGGGCTGGGGTCGATCCTAAAAAAATTCGGGCCGGTCGACCGGGCCGACTTTTGCTAGAATCAGTCAACATATCTATATTAAACATGTAAAGTAGTTTTCTGTCGAATTATAGTAATATTAAATTATTTAATTTTTATACTTTTTGCCCTTGAGAAATTCCAGCACGTTAGAATTTTATGTTAATTGATTGTCTATGCCTCCAAACATTTATGATTCTTATATTATATTCGCTATTTGCCAATTTATTTTACATTAATACAAATGACTAGCAGCTTTAAATTTCTAGTCTGAATTATGCTTTGAAAGAGAATTGACTTTAGCACCTCTCTTATCAACCTGCATGCCCACAAAGGTGCAAGCTGAGGGTCAATCCGCCCATCGACCCGGGTCGACCCGTATCACTAATTCCAATGTTCTTTATACTTACTCACTGAATAAATGAATATTGCGAATGAAATGATTTGAAGGGTATTACGTAGTGGTAAATATTTATTTCCTTGATTTGTGAACTTGCTTTGCTGTTCTTAATACCAATAATTAATAATTTTCTTTATACTCACAGGCTAAATTAATGTGAATGAAATCATTCGAATGGTAGATAAGTATTTATGTTCATGATTTGCGAACTTGTTTTGCTGTTTTTAATTCAAATGATTGATAAATGTTATGCTCACCCCCTGAATAAATGATTAATGCGAATGAAATGATTTTAAGGGTTTTACGTAATGGTAAATAAGTATTTATGTTCTTGATTTGTGAACTTGCTTTGCTGTTTTTAATTCCAACTATTAATAAATGTTCTTTATACTCACGCACTGAATGAATGATTAATGCGAATGAAATGATTTGAAGAGTGTTACATAATAGTAATGGTAAATAAGTATTTATGTTCTTGATTTGCAATTTGTTTTGCTGTTTTTAATTCCAATAATTAATATTCCTTAGGCCTACCGACTAAATTTAATGATTTGAAGGATATTACGTAATGGTAAATAAGTATTTATCTGTTATGATTTTCGAATTTGTTTTGCTGTTTTTAATTTCAATGATTGATTAATGTTCTTTATACTCACCGACTAAATTAATGCGAATGAAATGATTTGAAGAGAATTACGTTATAGTAAATAAGTATTAAATTATTGATTTGTGAACTTGTTTGCTGTTTTTTAATTACAATGATTAATGTTCGGGACACTTCAAGATCAATGGACCCAGTGATAATCACATTACGTGAAATCACACAATTACGTTATTTGTTTACTAGCACTAACAAATCGGCCAAAGCTATACTATCACCTAACCCTAAAACCAACTTTAATTTAGGCCGAGTGTTTAATCATGTGATGTGATGACACAAATCT